TGCAGCTTGCAGTCTTCAATTCCCCAAGTCGCTGTCGCTATTCTCAGTGTCTTCTATTTTGGCATAAGGTGTTCTTTACTTGTACACCACCAGCATTGCACCCGCTGTGGTCTCCAGACGGCGGAACTGCAAGCGCAGAGCTTCGAGGAGTACAGGCGCTGAGGGAGACTCTTTGACTCATTGTGCTTTAGGGCCTAGTGGCGGAAGCCGCGGCCTGCGGTTTTGAGACCTTGCCATGATTTTTGTTGTGCAAGCAAGTGCTCGCAGAGAGCTCCGAGGTAACTAACGACGGGCTCCCCAAACATGATGTTTCCTCAGACTTTCCTCTCAACCAGGGTCTGGAGATGGGCCCCAGTCGCATGACTCGATCCCAGGCCCCGCCTCAGTTTAGCCGAAGAGTGCTCCGCAGGCCCTACCTCACGCAGCCCGACCCGCTGGAGCAGCCGGAAAACCTGCCATCCATGACTCACGGAATGAAGGAGAGGGAGTCTTAAAGGATTGCCTCGAGATTTTGTGGGGGTTGTAGGGTAAAAAAGCGCTCTGGGTTTCTTCGGGGAAGCTTTTCAAATTTTCAATGTTAGTGTGGCTTGGTCGTAGAGTCAAAGATCTCGTGCGGTGTAACACGCGCTGTTCCTGCTAGTCCTAGAATAACAGGGATCCGGGATCCTGCATGCTCCCTGCTGTATTTGGGGATTTACAATAGGGTCTACATTGGATCCTGTGTCCACAGAAACCCCTCAACCCTAAAGCCGTGCGGCCGGGAAGCCAGGATTTAGCAAGTCTTTGAAGGCGACTCTCTGAAAACGTCCGTGCTGTGCATAGCGAGTTGCCCCTTTCTAGCCTATTCAGGGCCACAAGATCGGCGAAGCAATCCAAACCATCCTACCTGAAGTAAAAACCTCTAACACCCTAAGCCTTATCCCCGTTAAACCCTCTGACGGCCCCAAGGTGCCAACGCCGGAGCAGAGAGCCAACGGGGCGTAGTTGAGTTTAGACAAACCCCTAAACCCTCTGTGGGTCGTTCTCCGAATTTTGGGGCCCGTTTTGGGGTCCGCGGAAGAATACGACAGTCTAAAGAAAAGAAGGACACTAAGAGGACCCAAAAATGGAGAGAACTGCCCATATCAACCCTAGAGGACCCGAAGAGCTGGGCCATGAACTTCCGCTTCCCACTTCCGGCTCTGGGCTCGGAAGAAGGGGCAGCACTTATTTATATATATATATATATAGATAGATAGATAGATAGATAGATAGATAGAGATAGATAGATAGATAGATAGATACAACAATATTAGTTGATGAATTAATTAATTAACTAATTAATCAATTAAGCAATCAATTAATTAATTGATTAATAAATAAATAAATACATAAATAAATATATATATATATACAATACATAAATTACATAGATGTGTACTTCAGGGTTTAGGGGTTTAGGGTTTTTGAAAAAGTCTGTGGAAGCCTGGCGGGACCGCTGAGGCTTCGAGGGCTTTGCACAGCCTTCCGACTCCCTGAACAGCCAAACTCAACGAGACCTCCACATCCTCCAAGGAGAACCCCTGCGAGACCGTCAACTCCCCCCAAAGAGAATCCCTAATCACCCCCGAAACCCCCTTGAAATCCTTACCCTAAACTGCCCTAAACCCTAAGAAATTAAAACCATTCCCCTTTCTTTAAGGCAACTTTATAAGGAGCCCCGCTCTCTGAGGCCGGCGGTCCATCCTGGGAGCAGGAGCCCATGAGCGCCCACTTCGAGGCCCCTGGGCTCTCTGGCTTTGCTCCGCGCTTTGCACGACAACTCCGTTGAGGGGTTTAGGGTTTAGGGTATAGGGTTTAGGGTTTCAGGGGAGGACTAAAGTGGCTAAAGGGTAAAAAAGCAACAAGGAGCCGGTCTAGCCTTGTTGCTTGACGTGCGTCTTGCAGCATGTGCGCGTCTCTGCATGTCTCTGTGGGTGCACTTGGTTTGCTTTTTGCTTGAGGGAAGCGTTTAAAAGTTCAGTTCTGAAGTTGTGCTTTGTGGTTGCTAGCTTGTCTGCTTCTGGGAAGCGTGGTAGTGGGTGTTGTAGTGCTGTTCCTAGCACGATACTCCGAATGAATGGGGTATACAAGCTCCAGACACAGTACCAGCCATACTAAACATCGAAGCTGCTACTACCATGTACACACAGGGTCGGCATAGTTCGTAACAGCCCATCCCCTTTCCAGTCCCCTTACAAGTATACGGTATACTATCAGACTCTCATATACCCCAAACCTGATTCTACTTATTCAGGCCTCTATATCAGGCAATGCTCGCAGCCTCGCCATTTTTCCTTAAAGACCTCAGATCTTCAATGAAGATGTCTGACCATGACAGGAGCCGGAAGAATTCCTGACCACGTAGAGGTCCAGTAGCCAGTGCCCGCGTTGCGAACCCGAAATTGTCTGGAAGGTACAGGGGAGACCAGTGCAAGCCTAAGGCCATCATCCAAGAGCTGCTATATCCCTAAACCCTATAAGCCCTAATCCCTAAATCCTAAGCCCTAATCCCTAAACCCTAAGCCCTAAACTCTAAACCCTAATCCCTAAACCCGAAACCCTAATCCCTAAACCCCTTAAACCCAAAAATGATGTCCATGGACTCCAATGCCCCAGGCGCGCAAGTGCCCGGATGAGGGATGCCTGCAAGGCCTGTGATCCCGGTCTCTGCGGCTTTTGGTGGGTTGTGGGGACTCGGGGGTGCAAGGATTTTCAGGGTTTAGGGTTCTTCTTAAAAGGATTTTCAGGTTTCAGGGTTCTTCATATAAGGATTTTTTCAGGGTTTAGGTTGTTTTTTTTTTTTTATCTGGGGGCTCTGACTTGTTTGGAGAAGGGTAATGGTGATGATGGTGATGATGCTAACGATGATGGGTGTTGGTGCTAAGGTGACGGTGGTCATCGTCATCATCCTCATCCTCATACCAATAGATTTCCGTCACCTTGGAAGGCTTTAATTTAATGCGCTGGAAGTTTCCCTGTTATTAACATAAGCAAGCCCCGGTCTCCAGTTCCTCAGCTGTGGGGGCGGAGAGGCAAGCAGTGTATTCGGCCAAAGCAGTTCCTGGTTCCTGTTCTCAAGACAGTTCGTACAGCTTCTGCATCCCTGGAAGTCGAGAGCTGCCCAACTTAGTATGGGGGCCCTAATAAGTACCTATACTATTTTTGGGGCCCCTTATTAAAATTATACTATATCGGGCCCCAAAACCCTGTTCTAATTTTAAGGCCCCTACATTGTAGTTTAGTGTACAAGCCAGTCTGCCGAGAGAGCAACACATTTACGGGCAGTCTTCGAACGGCCTTTTAGCCTTCGCAGCCTGTGACCCCACTGCTGCCGTGCTTATGGCGATGCTTATGGTTGACAGACTTCGTTCTTTGTTGTCTATCAGTCTGAGCAAGGTTGCCGTTCTCGTCATCCATCATAGTTTTCTGCTCTCTGCCCGTGAGGCATGTCGCAATGCTCAGATTTCTTTGCTGCTTAGGGGCATTCCGAAACCTGTCGCATCAAGAGGTGCAAGAGAACCGGCTTGAGAGAAGCATGTTTGGTGAGAACAGCCAGTCATGGCCACGGATCGCAGCCTAAATAACTAGAAGTAAGGGTTGCAGCTATAAGACGCTACTAGAAAGAAGGACTCCTGTTTCTATCGGGGTTCTATAGGGGGTTCTTCAGGGTTCGTAGGGCAGACTGCGACCGAGGTCTACCGGACCGGCAGCAGAACTGGTCGCACTACGTCCTGTGCACCACCCAGCGATCTGACCTTCCGCGGTTCTGTTGTACTGCAAACGGCGGTCTAGGCGAAGGGCTTCAGTTTTGGAACCACGGCTTGCATTGCCGCAGAGTCTAGATCGTAGACCCAAATTGTGTAGACACCGGCCAGCCTGTGCATGATCGGGGGCTCTGTGACTTGGCCACCGAGGTGGAGCGAGAAGTTTGGCACGGATCCCAGCTGCAAGAATCGGAGAGAAAGCAGTCCTAGTGACCTAGTGCTCATGATGACAACGGGCATATGATGTGGACCCATCTTTGACAAGTGACACTGATAATGCTTACACACAGTGTTTGAATGCATGAGCCTGTCTACGTGATGTAGGTGCGCATGCTTACCTTCTAAAATGTATACGTCTTCACACCTATCCCTTTTGCTGGACATGAATGCAAGATTGCGATCTGTCGGGGTGTTGCCCGGAATGAGCATGGGCTTCAGGGATGACGCCCTCAACTACTCCTCCTACTGCTAATGCTACCTGCTAGTACGACTACGACTGCTATGACGACTACCACTGCTGTTTCTACTACCACGACGACGACGACGACTGCTACTGCCACATTACTTCTGCCTTTGGCTAACACTACGACGACGACAACTGCGGCGACGGCGACGAAGACGACGACTACTACTGTACTACTACGACGACGGCTTAGTGCTGACATGTTTAGAATGATGATGATTCTAGGCAAAGTTCATCATGTAGACAGTAGAACAGATTACTCACATACACGGTCACCCTTCAGCATACGGGTAAGATGCTACAATCACAACAAGATCAGTTTCTTCAACGTCGAATGCAGTTGTTACAATCACTGGTTTTCTCAATGTTGGGTGTTATCAGGGGTAAGCCTGGCAGCCCCAAGCCCTTACCTCCTTCTGAATCCGGCTTCTCAAGGCAAGCAATCCTTCGTTTTCAGCATTCCGCCTTGACAAGCTGGATCGTCCCAGTAGGTGCTGCAGGCTCACGGCGCAAGGAATCATTACATAATGTAGTATACTCTACTATAATATAACTTAACTTAGTATGACATAACATACTACAATGTAATGCAAATAATTAATACAGTATACACTACTATGGCATGATGTAGTATAACCAAGCATTGTAGTGACTCTTGTAGGGCCCTCAAGTCAGCCGTGTCTTGCTTTTCCCGGTGTGGCTCAGGTGATGTTACCTCGGAGGTGGTGGAGATCAAGAAAGAGGACTGGATCATGATGGACCTGCCAGACGTGCGTGTCAAGAACCTCACGATCTACGGCAAGCTGTCTTTCGACGACAGCTGGACTCTCAGATTCCCTGCCCCTGCCAGGGTTTGGTCGCTGATATCGTTGTTGAATCATCGTGGTATAAAGATGACTAGTGATTTGGAAGAACACAGAGCAACGCTAGTCCTATTTTTTCTGCAATCGGCACAGCTATCAGAGATGATTGCAGAAGGCATCTGTCTGCCCAGCTTTGAGGTTTTGGGGTTTAGTTGCGTTTTTGGTTTAGGGCCCCGCTGGCAAAACATGATATGGCCTAAACCCTAACCCCTGTATGTGTTTATTTTCTGCCATCTCGGAAGACGGTGCTGCAGACAGGCGAAGATCGTTATTTCGTCACAGGCCCGGCGGCAGACTTGAAACTGAAGGGTGTCTTAGGGTTCTTAATATTATGTTTATATATACTCTAATCGACCCAACACACTGTCGAAATTATCAAGGCCACTCTGTCAGAGCTTCGGGGTTCTGGGATTAGGGTTTCAGGGCTTCCGGAGGTTCTAGCTGATGGCATGCCGTCGAGGGTTCGGGGCTTCCTCCCTGTTTGCAGCAGAATGATTTTCCAAGTGGTGCACCGAGTGCTGACTTAAGTCTTTGTAGTGTGTGAGTTTCTGGGCTGCAGTTCTTTGAAGTCTGGTTAACTTGATTCGGCAACGGCTGCCATGCGCAAGCCTCCGTGCCACGATATTCTTGTCATGGCTGCCCCAACATAGAGAGCGACACCCAAGCCGACTGCCCCTGAGCCCGGCTTGCCTGACAGACAACATCCTGGTGTGGGGAACGCTGGAGATCGGCCGCTTGGCAGCGGAATTCGGAGCAAGATGATGCATGTCTTCTCACAGTCGTTGATGACATTGGCATGCACGTCGGGTTTCCAAAAAAAACTATGGGCGCTGGGCCGACGGATGGAAAGACGGACCGACCTGCATTGAAAAGCTTTTTTTCTATCACTTCTTCAATGGTCTCATTATCCGAATCAGAAGTCGTCTGGGCACTCAGGTACTAAAGACAAGCCTTTCGGTGCCGAGACGGGGAAGACTACGACCATCGTGCTTCGTGGATATGTGTTGAACACAGAGGACGGTTGCACTTGCCTGCCCATGGGGGTTGGGCCCATGATGCGGTGCATTCATACGGTTCATATATTGTGCTGGTTCTTACTGGGGCCCGTTCTTTGTGGTCCCACCTGGGTGCATGGGGGTTGGGCCCATGATGCGGTGCATTCATACGATTCATATATTGTGCTGGTTCTTACTGGGGCCCGTTCTTTGTGGTCCCACCTGGAGCACCTTATCATGCTCGCACGTTGTAAACTAAGACTGAACTATGTCACTCTTGAATGCAGCATCATCAACGAACAACTCCCACCTCGTCATGGCCGCGCATCAGGACTACGTTTACGTGGAAGAGCAGAGTCTTTGGGGCAAGGCTCGGACCCTCTTTCTACACATTCTATACCTTTCGTGGTCTGATTAACGAGGACTCATGTTCCCTAGTGGCACTGAACAGGGCGCGACAATGCGAGCCAAGCATTCCGGCACACATGATGACAATCGGGCTCATTAATCGCCAGCCCCCGAACCTCTGAACACATGAGCACCGCTAGGCCCTAGAAGGAGCCCTAAACTCTAAACTCCCTTAAGCCCTAAGCCCTAAACCCTAAGCCCTAAACCCCAAACCCTAAACTCCCTTAAGCCCTTGAGCCCTTTGGCCATGCTTTGGTTTCGGCAGGTGATCGCCGTGCCGGGCACTGCCGGGAGCCCAGTATACCGAACGCCCCCCCAAGAGCTTACAAGGCGCTTAGTAGCTCCGGGGTTTAGGGGTTTAGGGTTTAGCGGTTTAGGGTTTAGGGTTTGCGGTTTTGGGGTTGGGATTCAGAGTTAAGGGTGTCGTGTCCTTGCTTTAAGGTTTCGTGTTGTAGGCGTGAAAAAAAGGTGAGGTCCTTTTTTCCATTTGCCGAAGAGCGGCAAGGAGGCCAAGGGCCGACAGTTGTCTTTCGGAGCCACGTTCGACTCACTTCGTGTTTCGGGAATTAGGGTTCAGGGTTTAGTGTTTAGGGTGGAATGTTCACCAGAACTCAGCCGTATTTTCCGTGCGGAAGCGAGATTAGCCGAATCGAAGTATAACACTCTGTGGTGGCTAGGAATGAGAGCCGGAGCGGTTTTCCTCCTATGCGCTTAAGCTCGAACTCCAAGTTAATCCTTCTTGGACATCCTGTGGAGATGCCACTCTTTGGACACCGACTGAGTTCCAAACCTATGGCGCTCCCATCGACGAGACATGGCCGTTGCCTCGCAGGGGTGTTGGAGAGCTTCCTTCAACGTAGGCAGTTGGGCTGAAGATTTGGGTTTATACTCTGTGGGGTGTGTGCTTGGAGAGCGGAAGAGTTGGAGGTCTGAAGAACGGTTGAGCCAATTCAGCAAAGGCACAGCCCTAGACCAGATGCGATTGAGGGTGGCGACGCTATACAGCAACCAGCTACACGCAGATATGCCGCATGCAGTGTTGCTCATCAGACCGCTTGAAGCACGAGAGCCCTGAGCCCTACATGGCCCTACATCCGAACACGGCCCCGAAAGTTCGTTGAAGAGTCCCCGATGCTTCTTTCCGAAAGCCTCAAAGGCTTCGCCTGGCAATGACGATCGGCGAGAATGACGAGTCCGCCTGCGTTTGGAACACCACTGGGCCGGGCCGAGAAGAGTTCTGGGGTTTGCGGTTTTTAGGCTTCGGGGGTATAGGGTTTAGGTTTAGGGGTTTAGGGTTTTGGGAGTTTATGGTTCAGGCCGCAGTTGTTGTGGGTGTGGGATTGCGGTTTTGAGATCTTACGGGAGTTTCGGGTTTAGGCGGGTTTAGGGCGTGGAGGGTATCCATGGGCCTTTGTGAGCAAGAGTGGCAGCGATTGGACTGATATGTAACTTCGCGATTCATCCATCCTTACCCTCATCATCTTGTTGTTCGCAGCCACAATCACGGTAGTCTGACTGGTTCTTAGTAGTGAATGGGGGAATGGGTTACTGGGACGACGAACTATGGTAACTATGGGTAACCTTAAGAGACTATCATGGGGATCCATTCCCCCATTCCCTCCTGAGAACCAGGGAGTAGTGTCCCTATCCTGGTCCGCAGCATCGGAGTGGAAGCCAGGCCGCTGGAGTGGCCCGCCGGTGCCCTTGTGGGCTTTTCGCCGACGGAGCCGCCCCGCCATGCTCCGACCCGGGCTCTTTGCCCAGGGTGGGAAGTAGGTTAGAGTCAGAGTGTTGCTACCATGGCCTCGTGAAAAAATAAATCAATAAAAGTAGCATGTAGCCGCTTTGCTCCTGATCCCAATCGTCTAGTGCTGTGAAACACATGGTCTTGGTCCAGGTTGCCTCCTGTCAGGCCAGGCCACAGGCGGTGCTGCCTTGGCCCACGCCAGGTTCGACGAGCCTTGGGATCGCACGGTGTCTCGCACTCTCACAGAAGCTCCTGCTGGGGGCTTATGCACCAGTCTGACTTGGAGCCATGGCATCAAAGCGCTCCCGGTCAAGATTCACTCTTGTTCCTTTTCTGAGGAATACGACGAAGAGAATGGATGCTACAGGCGATGCACTGCTTTTCATTACTTTTCCGACATGCGCAATCTGTATCAAAAGTTGCTGCACTTTGGCGAGCCTTCCCGGATCTGCTGTAGCTTGCGGAGGACAGGCATCCAGCCGAGCATGTTCATCTCATTCAACATGCCTCCAACTGCGACACATACCTCCCTTTGTATTTCCTTCGCCTCCAGCATACTGTCATGCGCCTGAAGATGCTAAACGTATCCCCTACAATATGACACTGGCTAAGAAATGGAAATGTCTATGTATCTGGACAGCTGGGTGTGGACTTGCCGCAGAATCAGCTCCCCTCCTCCGGCGTCGCAGGCTCCGCTTTTCAGGCAGCCTGGGTGAGCGACGCTTCGCTGATGACATCGACGTCGGCGGCGGCAAGAAGGCGTCTTCGGGCTAAGGGAGTGCCGTAGTAGAATGCATAGTGAACGTACTGTATGATCGACATTGTATGGAAAGTGCCATTCATGTCTGCCAGGATATGCGGCAAGATGTGAGGATAAACAGCCAGACAGAAGAGTGCAAGCCATTCCGTGATGAAGCAGACGGTAGGTTGCAGGACTTCCGCAGACGTTTACTACGGGACATTACAGCACATTTCGGATGTCGTCATTACAGTGTAAGATGATAAGATGAACGTGTTCTGCGGAGTTGTCAGGTGTCTTGTATGGTGGCGGGGCCTATCTGTGGGTTCCAGACAGGATTAATGATGTATTGGGATTGGCACCTCTGCCTAAATCAGCCTACTCCATATCCCCCTGCTTCTTCGCCAGGTCTCACTTCGAGGCATTGTCACCCGCCTCGACCGAACGGTGCCTTGCTTAAGACGTCGAGGGTTTAACACCGGGAGCCTCATTTCAGTAAGTTGGTGATAGGGATGCATCAAGGTTTTCTTTGAGTGATAAAGGCGAAGCAAGCACGACGAAGGAGCGCAAATCACACCGTTACCCAAAATGAGTAGCACCAGGCTCTTCTCGGCCACTGAAACACTGGTTGCTCTACAATAAGTCAAAAGACTTGATAGCGACGGCAATAAACGCCATCATCACAGCCTAGCAGTCCCAGCAGCAAGCAAACAAGCGCGCGCGCACGCACGCACGCAC